TTCTCACTCTCAGTCACTTATTTGCTTGAGTTCTTTCAGTCAGCTATTAAAATTACATCGTACAGGGACCAGCAGTTAGCGTAATGGCTATATCGCTGGACTCCCACGTAGGTGACCGCGGTTCGCTCCTCGGACCCGGTGGCTTAAAACTCACGCCGGGCGCATGTGCATGCGTGCCCAAGATCCCGAGAGGAGAAAAGAGGAGAAGGGGTTGTGGTGTAGCCATCCCCCCTGGGGGTTGATTCGCTGCTTTCTGTCTCTCTCTGTCTCTCTCTGTCTGGTGAGCGCACGCGCCCTATAGCAAAAACCTCTCCAAAAAAAAAAAAAAATTACATCGTACATGTTCTTTTTAGAAAAATGGGAAAATGTAGAAAAAAGTGAGAATTAAGTAAAATCACTCATAATAAAATAACTCGTAATAGAGATCTCCCAAGATTAATATTTTGGTGTAAATTTTTTAAACTTTTTGCCATGATTAATAATATTTTGGTGTAAATTTTTTAAACTTTTTTATAAATTATATACAGCAAACCCTTCATTTATATACTTTTGATAGGTAATACTGTATACATTATGTGTGGAAAGAGAGGAGTAATTACAGACTTTTAAAAATGCCAATAGCCGTGTTGATAAATTTTGAAGCTAAATAGTGAATGTGAGGGATCATCACTTTTTTCTGTCTGTATTTGTGGGTGTTTGAAATTTCCCATGGGACATAATTTAAAAATGCATAGAGTACTTAGTATGTGATAGGTACTATGGTCAGTACTGTATAGTACAATATTTTACTTCATTTTCACAATTCTCAGATTTTCCTTTTAAAGTATGACGTGTTAACAAATGTATAGTTACAATAATTGCATGGAAGCCCACTATCATTACATGTATCGTAATTTGTGCTAACCAATCCCTTATTGTAGAACATTTGTTTTTTTACTTTTTATTCTTGTTAGTAGTGCTTAAATGACCTTCCTTATATAGACATGTAGGAGTATTTGCCTATGTCTTGTCTCAGGAAATTATTCTAGAAATGCAATTGCTGCATCAGAGCAGCTTTTATTCTTAAAAGATTTTAGTATGTATTGCTGAGTGCTCTTTAAAGATAGCCGGGTCTAGACTTTTACAAACAGTGTGTCGTGAGGACCGTTTCCTCGCACTGTCCCCAAATCAGCAGCACTGTTTTTTCCCCCTTACTTTTAGCCTTGTCTTTGCCAACTGTACAGGTGAAAAAAAGGTATCCGATTATTTGTTTTAATTTGCAGTTCTTTACTAATGATGAGGTTGATTCATTCGTATGTGGCCATTTTCCTTCTTTTGTAAATTGCGTCCTTTAGGCTCGCTTCTCTTTTTAGATGTTTATATTTTATTCTTTTGACAGAGCTCTTCATTCATCAAGGTATTTGCCTTTTGCTGTTACATTGCGGTTGTGTGTATTTACTTAGTCTACCTCAATTTTGCTGAGTAGTTTTTATGGACACACACAGTTTTATAAATATTTAAAATTAATTCTATCAGTTTTTTCTTTTGGGTTATTCTCTTTGTCATCAGACTATGAAGTCTTACCTAAACCAAAATTTGTTCATATTATGCATTATAATTTAATTTTTATGTATTTTATCTGAAAATTAGCTTAGTATAAGACATTTAATAGGAATTTTTCCCAAATAAATAACTACATAATTTATTTACTATTTTGTGGATTTGATGGAATGATCCTAAAAGTCATATGAGATGATAAGTGAATGATATACTAGCTGGCATTTTTTTTATTTTTTGGAGAGATTTTCACTATAGGGCGCATGCGCTCGCCAGACAGACAGAGAGAGACATAGAGACAGAAAGCGAGAAATCACCCCCCAGGGGGGATGGCCATGCCGTAATCCCTTCCCCTCCATTCTCCTCTCAGGATCTTGGGCACGCACGCACACGAGCCCGGCATGAGTTTTAAGCCACCGGGTCCGGGCCGCGAACCGTGGTCGACTACGTGGGAGTCCAGCGACATAGCCATTACGCCAACTGCTGGTTCCCCTAGCTGGCATTTTTTAAAAGAAGAATAATGGAGAATGATTATGCTATCGAGTATTAAAATGTATTTTGTTAAGTACAATGAGAAACCGTGTGCTATTATTAGATACAGTGACAGAATGTTGGCTGGGTAAGAACAGGAAAAGGATCAGTACAATCTAAAACACAAGTCACTTCACCTGCTACTTCCTCCCTGCCTAAATATTATAGTTGTGAAAAGGAAATAAATGTTCAGGGAAATTTTAGAGAACATTAAGAACACTTGAAAAAATTAAAATATTAAGCCAATATAAAGTTTAAAATATTTAACTAGTATGTGGTATGTGAGAAAAGTACAGGCGATATTATGTGTGTTTTCCTTTTGAAATAGTTAGATGAGCTGTAAGATATTCAATTTATTTTAAACCCACCGTTCTGTGATAAGTGTAATGAGGGGAATCTTCAGAAAGTTCATGGGAGATGCACATGCATGGAGCTCATTCTTTATTATTGGTTCTGGTTGATTGCTCGAGAGTACGTGTGCTCGCCAGAGAGAGGCAGACAGGTAGGAAGTGAGCATCGCTCCAGGGGGATGGCCACCACATCCACTTCTCCTCCATTCTCCTTTCAGGACTTTGGGCATGCACACATGCCCTGTGTGACTTCCCAGCTACTGGACCAGAGACTCAAACCACGTAGTCAGTCATGTGGGATCCAGTACCTTAAGCTCCATGCTACCTGTTGACCCTAAACTCAAACATTAATTCTATTTTCCACAAACCAGTCGAACTACCCTCATATATAAATAAGTCTATAGATAATTTTTTAAAAAGTTTTTGCCATACAGCATGTGTGCTTGCCAGAAAGGCAGAGACAGTGAGAGGGAAAGAAAAAAAAAATGAGAAATCATCCCCCGGGGGATGGCCATGCTGCAATCCCCTCTCCTCTGTTCCCCTTCTGGGATTTTGGGCATTTATGTATGCACACCTGTTGTGAGTTTCAGTTTCTGGTTCCAGGACTTGAACTGTGGTCAACCATGTGGGAGTCCAGTGCCTTATCACCACACCACCTGCTGGCCCCTACATTATATTTATAAAAGCATCATTTTCCTGTACAATTTATGAAGAAAAGGTAATCTTAAATGCTACTCTGTTGTCTTGGTATAATGACCGGAGCTAACTGAATTGGCTCAGACCCACTGTTTAAAAATTTATAGTGATGGTGCCAGTAGGTGCCCTTATGGTTATGGTACCAGACTCTCACATGGTAACTGTGTATCAAGTCCCAGATCTGGTGGCTTGAAAATCATGCCAGGCACACATGAATATGTCCCCAAAATCCTAAGAGGAGAGAAGAGGTGAAGGGGTTGTAGCATAGCCATCCCCTCTGAGGGACGATTTCTCACTTTCTGTCTCTCTGTCTCTCTGGCGAGTGCCCTATGGCAGAAACCTAAAATAATAAATAAATAAAATAAATAAATAAATAAAGACATAAATATTGGCTTGTTGGAAAAGTCATGGATGTATTTTTTCTTTGTTTTTCTATACAAAAATGTGTCATGACTTTTCTGACAACCCAATACGACAGAGGTAAGAGGACCTTACTGGGAGCTCTTCGTAGAGTTTGCTCTAGAGTGCATGGGCTTGCCAGGGAGAGAGAGAGAGGTGAAGGCAAAGTGAGAAATCTGTAACCCCTTCTCCTTTTTTTCTTCTCTCAGAATTTTGGGCACGCACACATACGTACCTGGCGTATTTTTCAAGCTTCCAGATCTGGGACTTGAACTGTGCAGTTGTCTATGTGAGGCTTTGCCCCCTTACACCATGCAACTTGCTGGCTGGCCCCAGAACTATATTCTTTTTTTTCTTTTTTTTCCTTTTATTATTATTATTTTTTCATTTCATTTCCTTCCAGAACTATATTCTGAATAGGCTTCCCGAGGTGCTGCCCAGTGGAGGTTGCCAGGCTGTGCTCTGCACACTTGGAACTGATCCTGGTGGAAGCTGATGCCTGAAGTGGCCGTACCTCTATACCGGGGAAATAAGTGCTGTTGCTTCCCGTCACGTTTTTCTCAGTCATCTCACTATCTGGGAAAGGCATCTCTGAACCACAGGAAGTCCAGACCGCAGGGCCAGAGAGGATTTGAATTCTACGCCCACCCCGAGTCCTTGCCCCTTCTCTCTCACGCGTTAGCTGCCCACCCTTGGCTTTTGCAGGAAAGCTGAGATGAAATAGCCTAAGAGTCAGTACTGATATGTTCCTTCGGTCCATGAGACGCCTGTCAGTGTGGTTTTATTTGAACGTACCTCAGTAGGTGACATCACTGACAGGAATTAATTTGGGATGCAGTGTATCTGGTTAAATCCCTTAGCTCAGGAAATGCCCAGAACTGTTGACAGAACCTGCTTCTTCTCCCTTCCGAGCACCTTTTTCCTCAGTGAGCAAAATTCAATTCCCTCATCTCTCAGAATTCAAACAGTATTTTGTGATCAGTTCGCATAATTTGAATATGTGTGTCTCTAATGTATCTGAAAAGAATGTTAAAACCGAATAATTATTGTACATGCAACTTGCTATGGATGAGTAGGGAGAGGAATATTTGAACTGCAAATTTTAAAAGTTCGGCAAATTTTAAAATGTTCATTTCTGAACTTCTGTAAGAGACAGAATAATGCATTATAGCTCCTACTGTTCATGTTTAACGAGCAGATGACCCCGGTTTTCCTGTATGACAACTCATGGCCGCAGTGAAGTTTTGCACAAGTAGCTAGAATAACGTAGCTGTCTTTTTCGTCTGGTAGAAGGGCATCTCTTCTGAGGAATCTTTTTTCCTTCTGTTTTTCTTAGCCCTTGTCAAGATATTTATTTTACAATTTCTAGTGAGCTAATGCTTTATGTTTTTAACGGAAGTGAAACTCAGTTTCATTTTAGCCTTGGTTATTTATTGAGTATCTTTTTGTCATGTCTTTTTTACCAATTGATAATCTGCGTGTTTCTAGGCTCAGCTTGCCAATCGGAAACAGAAATTAGAGTCTGTGGAGCTGTCCAGCCAGTCGGAAATTCAGCATCTGTCCAGTAAGCTGCAGCGGGCCAGCGACACCATCTGTGCCAACGAGCTGGAGATAGAGCGCCTCACCATGAGGGTCAACGACCTGGTGGGGGCCAACGTGGCCGTTCTGCAGGAGCAGCGGCAAAAGGAGGAGAAGTTACGAGAGTCTGAAAAACTATTAGAGGTGTGTTCTAGGATTACTGCAACTGGAGGAGACTCGCGTGTGTGTTTAAAGAGAGAATTAACGTAAATCTAGGTTTTAATATCTGGTTTCTTCCCTACTCTGCCTGATAGCTTTGTTCATATTGTACGTGCTCCATAACCTACAATCTGGCTCCTTGGCTTCCTTTTCACATGAAATAGATAAATTACAATAATATCTGACTTTTTTTCCTGGGTATTTTATTTTGTACATTCTTCAGGAAGAAAAAAGAGAATTGAAGGAAAATTGTAATATCTGATTTTTTTTTCCCTGAGTGTTTTGCAGGCTCTGAAAGAAGAAAAGAGAGAATTGATGGGAGCTCTTCAGGCCCAAGAAAATTTCATCCATGAGGCAAAGATGCAGAAAGAGAAGCTACAAGCAAAATTAAAGGCAGCTGACACTCAACACACAGTCGAAGCCATACGGTATATTTAATCTGAACTATTATTCATCTTACCTCCTTGTTGGTGTGGTTTTCAGGACCAGTTTTATTATAGTAGTCCTCCTTATTTTCTGTTTTGCTATCTGTTGTTTCAGTTACCCATAGTCAGCCATGGTCCAAAAAGATGAAGTCGCAGTTTGTAGAAATAAATAATCCGTAAGTTTTAGGTTGTGTGCCATTCGGAATAGCATATGCAGTCTTGCCTGTTCAGTCTGTCCCACCGGACCGTGGTGCACTCATCTGTCCAGCACGACCACGCTGTGGACTTAGTGGCCCTCTCAGTTGCCAGTCTGGACTGCTGCGTACTGCAGTGCTCACGTTCCTGTAATTTACGTTACTGAATGGTTCCTGAGCACCAATGGAGTTACGCTGGTAATTCAAATATGCCAAAGAGAAGATGTAAGATGCTCCTTTTAAGTGAAAAGATAGTTTTCAATTTACAAAGGAAAGAAAAAACTCCTATGCTGAGGTTATTAACATCTATAGTACAATAAGATATTTTGAGAGAGACAAATAATATTCACATAACTTTTATTACAGTATATTGTAATTATTCTATTTTATTATTAGCTATCATTGGTCTCTGACTGTGCCTATTTTTTAAATTAAATTTTATCTTAGATATGTATATGTAGGAAAAATCAGTATTCATGGGGTTTGGTACTCTCTCTAGTTTCAGGCACGTACTAGGGGTCTTGGGATGTATCCCCCACACAAATGGAGGGGCACTACTGTATTGCATGTTCATAATTCTGTGTGACCATATTGTGGATTTCCTTACTCATTTTAATTTCTGAGTTAGGTTTTACTATGTTAGAAATTTTTTTTCTGCCTCCAGTTTGAGTCTCTGTTTTGAAAGGTACAGACCCTATGGTTAGTCTGCACCCTTGGTGAAACTCCACATGTGAAGGGGATTGGAGTCCAAGTGTCCTGAAAACCTTTCTTTGATAGATTAGGTTATGATTACTAGTTGTCGATCATCAATAACACCAGCCATTGAGCTTGCTCTTTAAAATAGCTCTCTGGGACAGCAGGTGGTGAGGAGGTTAGGGTGGCTGATCCCACATGGCTGACTGCATGGCTTGAGTCCTGAACCCCGTTGCTTGAAAATCACTCTGGGCACGTGTGCATGTGTGCCCCAAATCCTAAGAGGACCATGGAGGAGAAGGGCTTGCAATGTGGCTGTCCTCCCTGGGAGAGGATTTCTTGCTTGATTTCTCTCTCTCTCTACAGGAAGTGCACACACTCCAGCAAAGCTTAAAACACACACACACACACACACACACACACACACACACACACACACAAAACATCCTAAGACTAATTTTATTTTTATGTAGGAATTACTGCCGTGAGAAGTTTGTAGTGGAAAGTAATAGAATGAGTTACACTGCTTTTGCTTGACTTAGGTCTGGTGTGCACTCACCATCTTGCCAGAACTCTCCTGTAACTTTTCTGTTTCTTTGGCTCAAAGTATCAAGTGTCAGCAAAGTGATTTGCCATTTTGTCTGTCTTCCTCCCTTGTAAAACAGACCAAATCCTAATTTAAGAAAGAGTAAATTGCTACTAAGTTTTTTGAGAAACAGCCTTTCTCGACTTTTTACTCTTTCTTTCAGTGTTCTTTTCGTAAAGTAGGAGTCAGACTGGAGAGTTCCATAGAGTTTTAGTTATCAAGAGGAGGTGGGAAATCCAAACTGTGCATTGTTTTTGTTTGTAAACATAAAAGGCCTTAACGATCCATTCTCATTTCCTTTTGTAGGCTGCTGGATGAGGCTCAGACAGAGAGGAAGTACATGTCCCAAGGGCAGGGGGACATAGACAGTGTGCTCTCCCAGTTGGATTTTTCCCACACGAGTGAAGAACTTTTGCGAGCAGAGGTGACTCGTCTTGAAGGCAGGTAGATAATTATATACATAATGGATTTCAAAAAGTCAGAGTTGTTAAAATGAACTGTTCAGAGTTTTTTCTTTATTTATGAGAGAGAGTGAGGCGGTGCCCTCACCAGAGTCTCCTGCTGTGGCCTCGCCAGCCTTTCCCAGCCTCTTGGGTTCAGAGCACACACAGGCGTGCCTGACGTGTACAGGGTCAGGAGCCGAACGTGTGGCTTCCCGCATTGCAGAGGACTGTGTTCATGGTGTGCCACTGTGTCCACGACATACCATGAAGTTGTGTTTGTCATACTGATAAAGCCAACTAATGGCGTAGTGGAAAATAAGTGCTTTGCTCCAGCATCCTCACATGGCCTAGCTTCTTACTTGATTGAGAAAGCAGAAGCAATTAAAGGTAAACTTTCTAATCTTGTCCCGACAAATCCACCAGCCGGCTTGCCTCTGTGCCCATAAGCTGTTGCTGTGGGTGAAGTTCTGGATGAAATGCCTGGGCTCCGAAGACTGACCCCTCCTGTGCATCTAGTTCTGCAGTTACTTCCTTTCTATTTTATATCAACAAGTTCTTTTCTGCTGAATCATTTCTGTAGGACTAAAGTATATGTTGGGGGAAAAAACAATGAAAATCTTCCTTTTAATTCTATATCCTCATCACGTTACTTCCACATTTTCCTGCTCTCTTTCACAATAAAATTATTTTAAAGAGTTGCCTACACTGATTGTCTCTTCCTCTTCACTTGTCGCCTGTGGAGAACCCCTGCATCAGCTTTCCTTCCACCTCACTGCGCTGCTCTTGGAGACGTCAGTTGACACCTGGTGCTCCTTTTCTTCCTCTGTTTTTTCTTTTTTTTAATTGCTGGAGAGTTCATACACTCTGAGAGAAAGCAGCCCTCCAGTGGGGTGTGGCCATACGGCAGTCCTTTTTCCTCCACTTCTCTATCTCATCAGGGCTTAGGGCACATAGCCAGTGTTCTTTTCTTTTCGCTCTCTTTTTTTAATTTTTTAATTTCAGGTTCTTTTATACATTTAGCTTGCAAAGTGAATATTCCAACATATATACATTTCTCACCAGTCCAGTTGATAATACTATAAAGTTATCTTCAACAGATAATACCCCATTTCTTTGTCCCATTAATGCTTTGCCTCTCTATTTTTCTCCTTATTGTCCTTCCTCAGACTATACTCCTTCACCCACTCCCTTACCACACTATATCTGGTATTCAAACCATTTACTATGTTTCTATATCCTTTAGTCATTCAGTTTCGGTCATAGAGTGTGGACACTCAGTATATATTAAGTGGAGACATACAGTGTCTCTCCTTAGTAGCCTGGCTTGCTTCACTCAGCAGTAAGTCTTCCATATTCATCTACTTTCTGTCAAAAGCCAAGATTGTCTTTTTTTCTTTTTTTAAATGGCTGAATGGTATTCCATAGAGTATATGTGCCACAGTTTTTCAATCCATTTATCTGTTCATGGGCATTTGGGTTGATTCCATGTCTTAGCAATTGTGAATAATGCTGCAATAAATATCGATGTGTAAGCACTTTTCTGATTAAGAATTCTTCTGTCCTTTGGGAAGATACCAAGGAGTGGGATTGCTGGATCATATGGTAGTTCTATTTGTAGATTTTTGAGGAACAATTCTCCAAATTGTTCTCCACAGTGGCTAGACCAATTTACATTCCCACCAGCAGTGTAAGAGACATTTAACAGATACAAAAAAGAAAAGATAATTCTCACCAGCAGTGTAAGAGAGTTCCCCTTTCACCATACCCTGGCCAGCATTTATCATTTTTTTTAGTTTTAGTCATTCTGACTGGGGTTAGGTGGTATCTCATTGTTTTGATCTGAGTTTCCCTTTCAATGAGGGATGTTGAGCACTTTTTCATATGCCTTTTAGCTATTCGTATGTCATCCTTGGAGAGTGGTTTTTTCAGCTCATTCTCCCATCTTTAAATAGGATTGATCATCATTTTTTGGGACAGCTGCTTGAGTTTCTTGTGTATTCTGGTTATCAATCCCTTATCTGACACGTAGTTTACAAAAATATTTTCCCATTCTGAGGGCTGTCGATTCACACTAATTACTGTGTCTTTTGCCATGCAAAAACTTCTTAGTCTGATGTCTATTTGAGGGATTACTGACTGAGCTTTGGGGGTCTTATTTAAGAAGTCTTTGCCTACCCTAATGTCTCCCAGAGTTTCCCCAGTGTTTTCCAAAGCAGTTTTATAGTTTGAGGTCTTAGATTTAGATCTTTGATCCACCTTGACTTGATTTTTGTCAAAGGTGAGAGGTAGGGGTTCAGATTCATCTTTCTGCAGGTGGATATCCAGTTTTTCCAGCACCATTTGCTGAAGAGGTTTTCCTTTTCCCATTGGATTGACTAGCACCCTTTGTCAAAAATCAATTGGTATATGTTTGGGAATTTATTTCTGGGGACTCTATTCTGTTCCATTGGTCCACATGTCTGTTTCTGTGTCAGTACCATGCCGTTTTAATTACCACAGTTTTGTAGTATATATTTGGGTCTGGGAGTGAGATGGCACCCACTCCACTCTTTGTGCAGGATTGCTTTGGCCATACGAGGTCTTTTATGATTCCAGACAAATTTTATGATTGTCTATTCTAGATCTGTGAAGAATGTGTCTGGTACGTTGATTGGGGTTGCTTTATATATGTAGATTAATTTATGTAGAATTGTCATTTTGATTATGTTAATTCTTCCAATCCAGGAACATGGGATGTCCTTCCACTTTTTTGTGTGTCATTTTTAATTTATTTTTTTAGCTTCTCATAGTTTTCCTTGTGGAAGTCTTTAACTTCTTTGGTTAGATTTATTCCTAGGTATCTTATACTTTTTGTGGCTATCGTAAATGGAATTACTTTTTTCAGTTTTCTCTCAGTCTGCCTTTTGTCGTATATAGACGTTCTATAGGTTTCTGTATGTTGATTTTATATCCTGCAACTTTACTACCAGTGTTCTTTTCAAGCCACCAGGACTAGGATTTGAACAGCAACTGGCCATGTGGGATCCAACTCCTTCAATTGCTATGCTATGGGCCGACACCTACATGGGGCTCCTTCTTTCTGTTAATCAGTAGTGCTGTTATTTCCTTGGGTGTTAATTGAATTCTGACTAAGGCTAACCCATATCATTGTCATAGTTACAAACTTTAAAAAAAAATTTATCATCCTTCTATACTTTTTGAAAATGAAGAGTTTGATATTTTATTTAAAACCATGAATCAAGGGACCAGCAGATGGTGTAGTGGTTACGTTGCTGGACGTCCATATGTTCAACCATGGTTTCAGTCTTGGACCTGGTGACTTAAAAGTCATACTGGGCAGGCCTTTCCAAGATCCTGGGAGGAGAATGGAGAAGAAGGGATTGCAGAGTGGCCATCCCCTTTAGGGGTTGATTTCTCACTTTCCCTCTCATTGTCTCTTTCTCTCTCCATGGTGAGCGTACATGTTCTAGGGCAAAAGCCTCTCAAAAAAAAAAAAAAACAATGAAACGAAACACATTAATCATTATCATTTGTACACTTGACATTTTCTTTATATAAAAAAGATAGTAGTTTGTAAATTAAGAGGGGATTTCAAATAGCTTATGGGAAAATGTAATTAAAGTACAATTTTATTTTGGTGAAAAAAATTTTTTTGAAATCATTTAGTTTTTTCTTAGTAGTCATTTTCCTTGAAATTTTGAAGACATTTCAGATTAACCTTTAGGCAAACAAATAACCAAAAATATCATCAGTTGACACTTTTTAGGATATCTTTAGTATATTTTGTTTGTTTGGGGATGTCTTTAATAAAAATAGTTTGTTTTCACTTTTATTTCTGCTTTTGGAAACCTCTAATTATTTTTGTTTTTCTACATAATGTCCACACACACACACACACACACACACACACACACACACACTTTTTTGCTTTATTTCTTTTGGAATGTTTATGATATTCCTATCATTACGGAGGTATGATTTTTCACTGATTGGCTCCTTTAGTGATCTTTTAAATACATTGGGTTGTCTGAGAAGTCATGACGCATTTTGTATAGAAAACCAGAAAGTATTAGACTGTTTCCCGATTACCTAGTATTTAGGATCGTTGGAAAAGTCATGATGTATTTTTGCATAGACAAATGTGCCATGACTTTTCTGATGACCCAGTATATGTTTTGCTGCTCAGTCATCGGCTCTGAGACTTACGTCTTGTTTCTGACTTGCAGTGTGACCTTGGACTCCTGAGCCTCCTTCGTCCCTAAAACTCCCATCTGTAGGTAGGGCAAGACCATCTCTGATTTTCCTTCTCTCTCTACATCAGTATTTGGCACATCATAATCACATACTCAATCCTAAAAAAAAAATGAGCATTCTGAGAATTTTAGATAAAGGTTAAATTAGAATAAATTGATATAAACACTAGTAGTCAATAATAAACCAATGGCTTAAAGTTTTTTCATTCAAAAAACAAGTAGAAAAGGAGCTGTTTTAGGTAGTTTATGTTGTTTAGTTTGAACAGAATATTCCCTAAAACAAAAAGGCAGGAATTCATTCATTCATTCATTCATTTACTTATTTATGGGAGAGGTTTTCGCTATAGGCCATGTGTGTTCGCCAGAAAGATAGAGAGAGACAGAGAGACAGAAAGCGAGAAATCGCCCCCCAGTGGGGATGGCCACGCTGCAATCCCTTCTCTTCCATTCTCCTCTCGGGATCTTGGGCACGCACGCACACGTGCTCAGCATGAGTTTAAGCCACCGGGTCCACAACTCGAACTGCGGTCAACTACGTGGGAGTCCAGTGACGTAGCCATTACGCCAACTGCTGGTCCCAAAGGCAGTAATTTAAATAATTGTTTTTGTGGTGGTGTATTGCAGAGATATTTTGTGATGATAGCTTATCTGGTAACTTATAGTCTTCTGTAGATCAGGACATCATAGAAGGAAAATTTTGAGATTTGCAACTAAAAAAATAATGACTACATTTATTTTCTTCTCTTTCGTTATGTAGTTTGGAATCTGTGAGTGCGACGTGTAAACAACTGAGCCAAGAACTAATGGAAAAATACGAAGAACTGAAGAAGATGGAAGGACATAACAATGAGTACAGGGCAGAGATTAAGACGGTAAAAATCCTCCTGCCTGGCACGTGACGTCATGTGTATGTGTGGACTCTGCTGGGGGTTAGGTGATAACAAGAGTCATGTTTAATGAGAGAAAAGTGGAGGCCCACTTGACATTCAGCAGCGAGGAGCGCCTGGGGTGTGCGCAGGGAGGGCCTTCTTTCCTTGGGACCCTTGGGGGCTCCATAAAAATAATTTCAAGGTATTTGGAGCCCGTCCCCTTTGAACCCGAAAACTTTTTAAACAATGCTTGATAAAAATCTTTCTAAAAGATAGCTACTTTCTTGCTTGCAAAAAGTTACTGTGAGTTATGATGTAATTTTTTTATTGACTGAAGATGGGTATGGTTATTTATTTTCTTCTGTGTTATGATGTAGTTAGTATCCTCATTGGGGCCCTGTCCATCCTATGTGTTGACTTGTATTTTGTTTTATTACTTCTTTGAGATTACTTCTAGCCCTTTTCTTCCCTTTGTTTTCGTTTATTATCTTCTGTGGACTAGGAGACTAGAGGCAGAATTTTTAGATTTGTAACTAAAAAAAGAGTGAAGGTCACAGGAACTGTCCTCTGAATAACGTGCCTGTCTTGGATGTGGCTCTCAGCACTGGAAGTCTGCGTCTCCTGGTTTGAGAAATGGTAAATGACTGTGAATTTAGCCACTTGCCCTCCAATACAGACACGCGACTTAATAAATGGCTAATTTTCTGAAGGTGTAACTTGGAAAATATTTTAAATCTTGAGGTAAGGTAAACATCGTCTTATTTTTCTGCCTAAGGATTTCCCCTTGAATTTTGGTGCTTTTTTCCCCTGTTTCTTTGTAGCTGAAAGAACAGATTTTACAGGCTGAGCAGAGTTATAGTTCCGCACTAGAAGGAATGAAGAGGGAGATCTCCCAGCTAACTCGGGAGTTACATCAGCGAGATATCACTATTGCTTCAGCCAAAGGTTCTTCCTCAGACATGGAGAAGCGACTACAGGCAGAGATGCAAAAGGCAGAAGAAAAAGCAGTAGAGCATAAGGTGAAGGCTGAGCAAATGCTCTATTAAAGTTTGTTTTTGAAAATTGAATTTATTAAAGGTACAATTTCCATTATATTTAATTCAGTAAACCTTTATTAGACACCTGCTTTGGGCTGAGGGTATGCAGGTCGGCAAGCAGTCTAGTGAGGGTGGCGGGGAGGTGAGAGCAGAAACAGACAAGTAGTCACTGTGTCGGGGAAGGTGGTGAGAGGTTGCTAGAAAGCACAGCTAAGGGGCGCTGGGTCTAGACCACTCCATGCAGAGGCTTCTCAAAGGCATGACAGGTCTGAGCTAAGACTGTTGAATAGGAATGAGCTGGGTGACGGGGGAGGTGGAGTGTCTCAGTAGAAGGAGAAATACACAGAGATCTCTAAGAGAGTGAGAGGTCTCGCTGTGAGTGAAGCTAGAATACAAGGGAGAATGGAAGGGATGAGACTGGAAAGCAGGCCCCACTCCTCAGGGACCTCAGCTGTGGGAAGGAGCTGCAGTGTGATCTTGTAAGGATGGCCGGAAGCAGGAGCAGAGGTCTCTGTGGTTACTGAGTGGAGACTCAGAAGGAGTCAAGGAGATTGCTCAGATGCTGTTAAAGCATGAGGTTGGGCAAGACATAGAGGGAAGAAATTCATCCTGGAAACATTTGGCTGGTAAAACCGATGGGCTTTCTCTGTACTGGACTGAACAGGGAGGATGAAGTAGACGAGATTAAGGAAAGATGTCAGTCAGGATTTAAGACCAGGAAACTGAGTGAAAAGTGAAGCTCTCTAACCAAGTAGAGGAAAGAGTGAGAGACTATGATGAATTTGTGTAAGAGGTCCACACAGTGAGGAAGCTGGTGGAAGGGATGTTGGTTTAGCGCATTTGATTTGAGAGGGCACTTTTGGACTTTTGTATAGAAATATCTAGTTGTCAATTCCACAGGAGATCTAGAGTGCAAGAATAAAATCAGGATTAGGCATTTAGTTATGAGCGTCCTTGCATGAAGTTGGCATTTGAACACCCTGAGAGATTCAGAGATTATGATGAGAAAGCACAGAATATGCAGGGCAGTGGCTTTAACTTAATTTGAATACATCTTATTAGGGTAAAAAAGATGCTGGGAAGGAGTTTAAAGTAGCAGTGAGGAAAGAAGCCGAAGAAGGCAGGAATCTTTCAAGCAGGAATAATCAAGCAGAAAAACTAAAGAGGCTGAGCACTGCAAAGAAGTGGTTTTTTGTTTTTGTTTTTGTTTTTTTTAAGGCTGAGCACTGCAAAGAAGTGTTTTTTTTTGTTTTGTTTTGTTTTCCCGAACCGCTGTTCCAAATGCTGTTGCAGGAAGAAGCTGAACTAGAGGAGGCTCACGTAGGATAGTGGTCAGGGCTGTAGCAATATGCTAAAGCTCCGTCACTTCACTCTTGACTCACCATCTTAGGACAGTATTTAAGGGCTGGCCCTGTGACCTGGTGGTTGAGGGTGCTGGATCCTATATGGCCGAACACATGATTTGAATCCTGGCCCCGGCAGCTGGAGTAAAAACACCAGGTGCATATGTGCACGTGCCCCATAACCACACCTCACTGGAGAAGGTTCTCCTTTTATCTGTGCCAATTTCTGGTGAGCAGGTGCACCCTTTGGCCCACACATACACAAATAATAATTATTACCCTTCATGTTAGTTCATCTTGATAACATCTTTAAAAAACCTTTTTAGAAGTGTGTATGTGTATAAAAATGAAGGATGTAACTTAGTCCAATGAAAATTACATGTGGAAAGATTTTGTTAGATGTATTTGACTGATTTGTTATAGATGTTTATTTGTTCTTTCTGCTTTTACCTTCAGGAGATTTTGGGTCAGCTGGAATCACTCCAATTAGAAAATCGTCGCCTTTCTGAAATGGTGATGAAACTGGAATTGGGTTTACATGAGGTACCTAAACAGAAACTTAAGTTTTTCTACTATCCAAGTTTTTTAAAAACAAAACCCCTTGTAAATATTGATATTTTTTAAAGAGAGAGTGAGATCAAATTATATTTTTAGACGATGTAATTTAATTAAATATTTTGGAAACTTTAATGTTCAAAGTATTTTACCAGGTCCTACTTACAAGGGTAAGTAAGATAGGATGCTTGCCTTTAAGAGATTAGAAAACTCTAGCAGGAAAGACAAAAAATGCATACAAGTGGGACCAGCAGATGGCATAATGGCTATGTTGCTGGACTCCCATATAGTCGACTGTGGTTCAAGTCCTGGACCTGGTGGCTTAAAGTCACGCCGGGCGCGTGCGTGTGCGTGCCCAAGATCCCGAGAGGAGAATGGATGAGAAAGGATTATGACGTGTCCATCCCCGCTGTGGGGTGATTTCTCACTTTCTGTCTCTCTGTCTCTCTCTGTCTTTCTGGCAAGCACATGTGCCCCTTAGTAAAAACCTCCAAAAAAGAAAAAAAAAAGCATACAAGCTTCTATGAAACCAGAGAGAACATGATTAACATTGTGTTATAAATAATGTGGATGCTCTTTTAATTACTTTGTTTTAACATTCTAATAATTTGCAGAATGACTTACTTATTGTACTCATCTTTTCTTGAAGTAGACTAACTGTCTGAAGATTACATTAAACAGTCTTTTGGGTGTACTTCCAGAGAGTAAACAGGGAGGCTTCAAAAGTTCATGGAAAATGGGATCAAAGTATGAATATATTTGAGTGCAAGAAAATTTGAACTCTGGGCATTGTTTTTTTCATATTATCTATTTTCCATGAACTTCTTGGAGACCCATCATGTATCTCCAAAGATATATATGGTCATACAGTGGTTTCTATTTGCTCTCAAATAGTTGCAATTTTGCAGTCATGGACTGTGGAAGCTGGTGTGGAAGAAAATGCAAAAGGATTGAAGAATGCTTTTTTTCCTGCTAGAGAAATGGGGTACTATTTTTATAATCTTCTAGAAGGAAAATATTCCCTAAGCATCATCAAGCCGTAAAGGATTTTATAGTATAAAGATGTAAAATTTGTGGATAGTGAAAAACCCCATGAAAAAACTAGTAAGGAGGAAAAGATTGATAAAGACACACAAAGTTGATATAAAATATTAATATGTAAGGATTCCCTATGAAGATAATGAGGAAAAGATAAACCTGTAGACAAATGAGTAAAGGACATAAGTAGATAATGTCTAGGATACAGATATCCAGTAAAGAAGGAGAGCTGCCCAGCCTCCCTAACGGTCAAAGGAAAGCAAATGATACTCTCTGGCTGATTAGCTTGAAGTGACTTTTAAAAACTACTATGTCGCCAGTTTAGCCAGGAGGTAGGGAAACAGGCGCTCACATGCACTGTTGTTAATACACACAGCTTCTGAACTCCTGGATCGTGCCTTTTCCCTTTTATTATTTTTATTTTCTAAATTGGCAGAGGACATGTGCACTAGCCAGAGAGAGAAAAAGATAGAGGGAGAAGGCACCCCTTAAACGGGATGTGGTCACACTGCATTCCCTTCTCCGCCGTTAGGCAGGCATGCACATGTGCCTGCTCTATTTGTTCAAGCCTCCAGAGCCAGGACTCACACCACAGTCCACCATGTTGGATCCGGCTCCCTTAACCACGATAGGACTGGGCTGCTTTCACATTTCTGTAGTCAGTGCCAGCTCTTTCTTCAGGATGATCTTAACCTGTTTGCATTCCCAAAGAACCCATCTTATAGGAACAAATAAGCAAAACTTGTCATTGCAATATGGTTTTAGATATCTGAAATTTTGAAATAAACCAAGTGTTTGTTTAAGTGGTTACTTTATGGCTCTCTATACTACGAAATACATGCTTCCCTCTAATATGGTAGGTGAAAACATTCGTCACCCAGATCTCTCTCAAACCATAATGAAAGGATTTTTTTTCTTTTTTTAAACACAAAACACAAGGATGGGAAAAATAGGAGCTAAAATAGCAGCTAAACATTTTGTAAGAGGAGAGATGAGTGGATGAATGAGTAAGTGGGTGGGTGGTAAATGACTATATGCCTAGATAAAGCCACTGCTAAGGATCTTGTATCTGTGGACAGATCTAAAAACTAACTTTCTTAACTAATCTTCCAAGGCTCAAGAGTTAGCGATACTTGATTAAAAAAACTTACGTAACAATCACCCGTTCTGTTTAAGGGTTGAGAACTCTCAGGGGAGCGCACAGGGGAGCGCACACCAGGCCACGGCCGCTTGATTTCCCCGAACCCCCAACGGTGGCGGTGCTGTCCGTTCTCCACGTGGCGTCACGTGTGCTGGCTGCTCAGTCTTTAGATCCCCTGTCACATTGATTTATCTGTAACTGACGTCAGTGAGATAACTTTGGAGAAAAGTAAAGGTATCTGGCAAAGGCAAGCATTATCTTTTTAGGAAAAAAAAAAGTTTAATGGCATTATACATAAACTCTTGTTGGTGAAAATCCCGTCAGCAATTTGAGCTTCCTCTGGTTTTGAAATTATTCACAGCATGTGAATATATTGTGCATATTCCTAAGAATAATTGCTAGACGTGTTCTTTCATATTTCACCATCCAGGAAGCTGGAATTACTTTTTCAAGTGATTGTTTGGGCTAAATATTGATTTTAATAAATTACCTAACTATCTCAGTATGAAAGATGGCAGTGCTGAGGAAATCAATTACTCACATATTTTTAGAGCTTGCAGTGGGTCAGCCAGACTGAACAGTGCTGAACCCACACTGGCAGGCCCGTACCACGCCCCGAGGCCAGCCTGCGCACCGGGTGCTTGTGCACATGTCCAGGGTCTGTGCTGACGGAGGCCGGGGGCAGACTGTGGCGTGCAAGCCTTGTTGGAGGACTCTCTCTCTCTCTCGGAAGAAATAAATTCAGTAAGCTGAAAAAACCTGATACTAGTTCACATTTCAATTCATACATCCTATACATGTTCTTTTCTGAGGTTTTATCTGGCATTGACAGCTTGAAAGATAGAAAGATTTTGTAACGCACTGTCACTACTGGTACACAGATAGTCAACAGGTATATTTTAGAATGACATTTTTATTGGACAAATTTTGTTTGCCAGGCTACTCCATTTTTTTTTATTTAAATCTTTCTTTATTTCTCCCATGAGCCAGAGAGAGGGAGAGGGAGAGGGAGAGAGAGAGAGAGAGAGAGAGATGGCACCTCCAACAGGGCCTTGACACTGATCTGCCCCGTGTCAGCCAGCTCACATCATGGTGCGTTCAGGGAGGTTCTGGGCTTGAACTTGAACCTTCCTGTGTGGGAGTGCCCTATACAACATTCCGTTTTCCTGTTTTGCCACCATCTGGCCCCCGTCGAGGTACTCTTGACAGGCACACTTTCAGGCATTAAAAGATGAGGAAAGCCCAAGCTAAACATCATATTAAACTCCAAAGGTGACCATAATTTTGTGGAATGCTAATTAAAAGTTTGTCATTAGAAAAAAATGGTCCCGACAGCCATCTTTTCAGGTGCTGTATTGCTAGAAGTGCCTGGAATTGAAGAGCAGACACTGACAATCACATAGCAGGGCCAGACCAGGGTGCTAGCTTCCACCACCCTGCCGTCCTCCATTCTGCCTCGTCTTGTCCAGTTTACATAGACTAGATGGCAAAGTTATGTCAACGTGTCTACGGTCAGAAAATATTTAGGAGTAGAAGTTATCCTCACTAAGCCCAGATTTCTGTTCAAAACCTTTTGTTCAAATTTCTTTTCTTCCTGTGTCTATTGATTTTCTCCCCCCAGTATTCTATGGCTCTTCAGTCTTCCTGTCTCTTGAGAGAACCGGGCCCCTGTTTTTTCCTCCCAGCCTCCCCGTGCCCATTCCCGATGATCACTGGTAGCTCTCTCTGCCCTGGTTCCACCCTTCCTCCAGCTCCTGGGATGTCCTCAGGCACACGGGAAGCTCACTGTGCTTCTCATTCTCCACTCCCCTTTCCTCTGAGTAACAGAACCCTTTCTCTGTTAGCCTTTGGGGGCTAAAACCGAATCTTTACCTTTTCTAAAGTAAAGTCACAGGTTAGTTAGTTATAACTAAAACAAACAAACAAAAAACTGACTTTTCAGCCAGTACTATCATAGATCACAAGTGTTCTTGTACAGATTAAGTGATTCTAGTGTTCTTTTTTATTAGGCCAAAGAGATTTCACTAGCAGACCTCCAGGAGAATTATATTGAGGCATTAAATAAATTAGTGTCTGAAAATCAACAACTACAGAAAGATTTGATGGATACCAAATCTCAGCTGGAGATTTCTACTCAGATGTGCAAAAAAAAAAATGACAGGATCTTTAAACCAACACACTGCAGAACAGCTGACTTCAAGAATACCGAGTTCAAGTAAACATGTCTGAAACTTTATTTAAAATGTGTATTATTGCAATATAGTTCTCATCGCTTTGAGGACAGTTTCCGACTTGCAGAAACTGAATCTCTGTTAAGGGACTCGTGTGTTGACTGGGAAGTGCGGGATGCACGAGGAAGGCTGACTTGGGCTAAACACGGAGGGCTTGCCCAGCACTCTCATCTGGCCTTGGTTCCACACATGCCGGCCATGGGCACAAATGCAATCTTCATTCCCCTGAGCCTTCCATGGTCTCCCACCTCCTCAACCCCATTGGCTCTGTAAATAGTGGAACTGGCTTTTTATTTTATCTTTTAAATCTCCTATAGGGTGTATACACTTGCCAGAGAGAGCGAGGAAGAGAGAAAGTGAGAAAACACCCCCCAGGGGGAATGACCATGCTGCCTTCCTTCCCCTCTGCTGTACTCTCAGGATTTTGGGTGCACTCATACTTGTGCCCTGTGTGTCCCTCAAGCCTCTGGATCTAGAATTCCCTTTAAATATATATATATATACACACACACACACACACACACACACACATACATATATATACATACACATACTATATATATATATATATATATATGTATATATAAAGCTTCCTATCTTCCTGGTCCATTAATTATAGACTTTTATCATAAGAAATCATTATTCAATGGAAAGCCACCTGATTCTGGTTTATATTATTGGGCTGTCAGTAAAGTCATGATGTATTTTTGCATAGAAAAATATGCCATGACTTTCCCACTAGCCTAATAGATGGTTTACATGTTTTCCCACCCAAAACCTTAGCTGATACCCGCCCTCACCACCACTAGTGCCTCCACCCTGTCCCCTGGTGAGGTTCGCTGCTCAGTCCTTCCCCTTCCTAGCAGTAACCGCACTGCGTGACTCTGGCAGCTTGCTTCTCTCCCTTGCTGTGTTGTAAGAGTGTGAGGGCAGGTGTGGCGGGAGGACAGGCTATTTGGGGTCTAAGTGTGAAATAAACCTGGTCTGAGCAGGCTGCTCATTTTGTAAAGTAAAGTCTTATTCGGTAGCCTGTTCATTTTGAAGCAAATGTCCTACGATATTTCCAGTGGAAAGAAGAAAGTTGCTACAATTTTTTGTTTTCTTTTCTAATCTGCTATCCAGGCCAACCCATGGCCAGCACAGACGTGATGGAATAAAGACTGGGCACTACAAAACAGGTCTTCATTCTCCCAGAGGACACGCATTGGATAGTATAGACCCCATATCCAGGGTCCTCAGCCCCTTGAGTCCTCAAGGCAGCCCTTGCAGCTCCACCGTTTCCTTGCCTTCCTACTTTCTGGATAAAACTCACTTCTTGCCGTCAGTGGTAGATATGAATGAAGCCAACTTTTCTGACACTGTGTCTGAGAGTCTGAATGACCAAGAAGAGTTTATGTCTTCGGTATGGAAACTTCTTGATCTTACTAGTTTGTTAATTAGTTTGACTTTTTTTTTTTTAAATTTAATTTAAGGGTGAAAGGTATGCTTTTCCCCCCCCTTACTAGTTCTCTATCAAAAGTACCCTTTATTATTCTCATGTATTTTTGTCTTACTGTTTTATTCATGAAGGCACATTCAGCCAAGATTACTTTTCAAAATGCATCCTAGTTCTAAATGTAATGTAAGTGGCAGATATTC